GCCTGGGCTCTTGCTTTGCTGTTAGCTCACAGTGGGCAGGACCTGGAGATAACACCAAAGCTGCATCTCTGAAATCATCCAGTCATGTTTTACATTGAGAATTATTTGAAAGTAATGCCCACATACATCCCAACTAAAGTAGGGAAAAAGTGCTAAAAACTAAAGCAGAAGACCACAAAGCAGTTAGGTAACACTCCCGATCTAAGGATCCTACTGTTGCTTTTTTTCACAACACCATTATCCAGTTTTATGAGCTGGTGACCAGAGAACACAGAAATTACACAAATTGCCCAAGGCGATACAGCGAACCAGCAGCGCATCAGAGAATACAGCATAGATCTTGCAAGTTCTAATCTGCCACCCCACCTGCCTCCCTCTCGTACCCGTTGTGTTCTTGGGATACAAATACGGCTTTGGTAAAATGGAGTTCAGCCAGAATGCATTTCCTGATCACATACAGGAGTATGTAATATAAAAGCACCTCCTTATCATTGCCTTTCCATGGAGCAGCACTGGGTCATTGCACTTGAAATTTCTGAGGTTTTAAAAAGTAATATATAATTGGTGCTAGTGGTGACTGCACAAACTATGCCCTAACACTTCAGTACTCTGCTCAAGACAGTGCTGCCCACCCAAGAGAGAAGACTAGAGCCTGAGCCAGAAATTTGGCTGAGATGCCAACTGTTTCTTACAGGGGAAACGCTGATGGGGTGAAGAAATCCAAGAAAACGCAGTTGCACAGATGCTTGCAGGGGGAGAAGGAGGAAGGGCCTGCCACAGAAAGAAAATAACAAATCAAATCCTCCTTTCCACTGCTCAGCAAGGGCAGGGGAGGGTGCGCAGCAAGTCAGTTGGGGTTGGGGTTAGGAGTCAAGAGTGCTTGTAATTTAACCCTGGATCTGGCTCTCATTGGGCAAGTCAGTAAAGTTCTCTGCCTTCATTTCTCCATCTGTAAAATGGAGTCTGGAATAACACTTACACCACAGGGTAGATTAAAGAGCAGCTGTACAAAGCTTTGAAATGTACAGCCATAGATCAGGGCTAAATAGCTCTGTTTCTGCCATAAGCAGTCACTTTGGGGCAATATATGCTGACATGATGTTATAGGACCAATGTTAAGTGATAGAAAGATGGTAATGTTTATTAAATGGATTGGTTAGCTTCAGGGGAAAGGCTTATGTGCCTCATGATGTAAACACATGATTTTTCAATACGTAGCAGAATGCAAGAGGCAAGTATATATTTTTTTTAATTTTATTTTTATTTTGTACACACAATACTAGGCTGTCTGTGAACTCTACAGGTACTCAGGAAGAGCCCAAAATTTAACCTAAGAGTAACACTAAAGGATATAAACTAGCTTTAGCTTTCAGAAGTTGTCAATGTAGGTCTGATACTTCATGTATGACAACCAGGGCAGAAGCACCTACACATACAAATAATGCACTTAAGAGCACTGAAAGACAAGATCTTAATCTCAAGAAAAAAATTATGTCTCTCCAATGTGTCAGAACTTCAAAAGTAATTGTGAGATCTGACAGGGCTGCTGGTGATTCTCTTAAAGACTCTTTATAGCTCCTCTTACAGGGGCCTTGGGCTGATTCATGTTGATTGTGTCTGGCAGCTAGCATTTCTGTTAATAATAATCATAAATAAAGTGGACAAGGTTGCCTGACCTGAAATGAGCATATCTATATAGTGCCATATCCATTACAGCACAGTGGATCTGTACCGCAAATCAGGAAAGGTCCAATGCTCTTGACACTGTGTATTAAAATAATATCCATCTTTTAAGAGCTCAGAACCTTTGTCTGCCATCTTTTTCATTAAAAAGTGTTCCTTAAGAGAGAACATTCACACTAGAACAGACCTATAGAAAGGAGACATTACAGAGGATGAAAGATTGAAAACCTTTACTTTTTTTTTTGTTTATTATGCAATAAAAATATATTTGTGAACAGCTCTATTCTCCCTTATATTTCAGCTCCTCCTTCCATTTCTCCTGCATTGAAGTCATAATCCTGGTTTTATGCCATCATAAATTTGCTGACATGTGAAAAATTATACTATTATCAAACACATCAAAACAGAATTAAGATTTCTCTGCTGCAGGACCAAATGCAAACAGGAGCTGGGTTATAAGAAAGTGAAGCTTTATTAGTTTCTGGGCAGTGTTTTGCTGCTAGAGATACAGAAAGTAGTAAAGATTTATTTTTTTGTAATTTGCATAAAACCCCTAGTTGTACTTATACACAAACACAAGTCATTCAAAACAATACAGGAATTATTTGCTGATATAGGGAATCACTCTCGAAAGTAAGGTATCAGAGATTATATGCTCAGAATCTCTCCACATGAGGTGATAGGCTGAATTAAGAGAGAAACTTTGTAAATTCCTTTGAGGCAGGTCAACGTGCCAGGCTATGCCAAGCCCACCAGGGCAGGCAACTTCCAAGGACATGGGCCCTCCACTGAAAACCCTCCACCCCAGAGGTTCAGGTCCAGAGAATCCAGAGGTTCAGGAACTAGCCCATACAGTAAATTAGAATAAAGAGATTATGCTGTTGGCCAGTCAAAAATAAAGCTGTATTCGGTGAAAAAGACAGGTCAGATGTTACACAGCAGTAAAAAAAAGCAGCAAAGCTTAGACTTCCCATGTTCCCCACTAAGGAAAGGTTCCTGCCAGCCCCCTCGCTCACTGCCTTTGCATACCTGCAGGGCATGACTAACCAGCGTCACTGCTCTGCCAGGTAGGCTCAAGGCTGGCTAGACCATGGAAAAGCCTCTTCTCTCCAGGAGGGAGAAGTGGTGTCTTCCAGACTGCTACAAAAGCAACCTGAAACATGAGTCTCAAACAATTCTCCTGCCATAACTCCTTTTTCATGGCCACTGACACAACATTTAGTCCCTCATAGGGGCTATTGAAAGCCAGAGTTGTGAGCCAAAATACAACCCTGATATATAGTACAGCCCACAGATGCAGAGCTCTTCTGTAATTACAAAGACAATGCTTTTCTCCTGCCTTGTCCAGCCTCCAATGTGCTAGCAAAGCAGAAAGAAGTGAAATGAAACAACTAGTTTTATGAGCATCAGAGTAAACAAATCCTGATGTTCTACTGATTTAGGTTTGGGATGAACTCTGGAGTCTAGAGAATATGCAAGCTCTGCCTGAAGATTTTCTCAGAGTATTATTTTAAAGTATTCCCCCTAGGGAAAGAGGGGTCCTCTTTAGTGTCCAATAAGGATAAATCTACATTGTCATTTTCTCTCTGTTCCCTCATCTGCACAGCTGCCTGTTTTCACAGAACTTGATAAATTTTTGCATCTGAATGTCCTGTGGAAAAAGTCCACATTATATGGGCAGCTTCTCCATAAGATGCAATCTAGTTGTCAGCATACACCCAAAAATGACATCTCTGTGGACAGCTTTGTTTTCCTTTTCCACAACATACAAATCATGATTCCTTTTCTTACTAGTTACTCTTAAAAAGTTGATGTTTGAAAGGAGCTATTAGAAGAACAGCTCCTCAGAAAGAGGAAAATCAATTTATTACCATGTAAACTGAAGGGATAGGAAAGAGGTTTTCTCATAGGATGCAAAGTTAATTTCAGAAAGATTATTTCATCACTTCGTCTATGCTTGCACCATGTAGAGGGATCACTTTCAGATGCATCCTCTGAAAAGGTACAATCAGTCATGCACTTATGGATATGGTTTTAATAGTGGTATCTACTGTATTCACATCTGTGCTGCACATGGTCCTCCTGCTACCACAGTCAAGAGCATAAGGAAAAGGAGAGTTATGAATTACTCAGTTTGTTCACTGCAAATGAATCCCAGAGGTCAGTATCCCAGCACGTGGAATGGCTGGTGAATTACAAACTCTATGAAAATAACGTATTTTGGACAGCCAGCGCTACTGTAGGATAAGTAGCCACTGATATTTCACATACCTGTGCACACCATTTCCAATGCCAATGTGCATTTTTTTCAAAAGTAAGTTAGGCAGGACTCGCACTTCAAGTCGGGAAGACAGCATCCAGGAAGAAGGTGAGGTGACCAGCTGATGGATGCACCTCACTCCTGTCCTGCAATTTTCTGAAACTCGTTCTGGTGGGAAGATGTATCAGTTGCAACTGCACAGACTCTTGGTATGATCCCAGAGGCTCTTGCCTTCTAATTAAAAAGTCCTGCTGTAGTGTGAAAGCTACTGGGGATTAGATTTGAACAAAGATGAAGTCTTCTATAATTGCTGAAAAGGTTTCAGATTTGCAAGTGCTTCATTGCAGTAGTTCCCATATATTATTACTAATACATTTAATTATTTGTTATCAATAAATTACTGTGAAAAGAAGGACTCATAACTCAAAAACAAAACGTCTCAGAGACAGGGTAACATCCTTCAAGGGGCACAGGCACAACTTTGTTCCATCCTCTAGGTGGGAAGAAAGAACTCAGTGGTGGTTTCAGCTGTGTGGCATCTTGCACCTTTGGGCATCCAGAGCACACAAGGAGCAAAAGTGGGCTCACAACAGATACTGCTATTCATCAAGACTCTGGTCTTGTGCTGGTGAAACATGTGCATACCAAGAGGGGAGTCTGTGCCCAAAGTGCTTAGAATAACAGCTACATTCCACCACTTCACAAAGGCATCTTTCTGGAATCAAATCAGAAGAATATTTGTATAAATAAATACTTGAACGCGCTGCCACTGGCAATACTGACCAGTTTTAGGGATAAATGTTCTTCTGTTCATGTGAAGTAAACCTAAGTGAAAAGGGTGAGGGGGAGGCTCCACTGCAAAGGCAATGCAACCACACAGGTTTTGTTCATGTTCCAAAGGAAGAAACTCAGAGCATAGGACACCTGCCCTGGCCTCATTTCTCTGCTAAGAGATACAGCTGGTACTGAATTAGCTAACCTTTAGGGCTAGCCTCCCCACCACGTACTAGTTATCTGCCTTGGTCTGCATCCCTCTTTCACAGCACCACAAGCTTACCTGCATTTGATCTTTTCTTTGGATTTTTGAGACTTCGGCACCTGCCGCTCGCAGAGCTGCTGTTCTCGCTCATGGAATCTTGGGCTGAGGAGGCGCTCCCCGTCGCTTCGCTGTCCCTCATCATGCTCTCGTAGCCACTGCTCCCCCCGCTGTGATAGAAGAGGGCTGTTTTTCCCATGGCGGGGGGCAGCTCCCCACTCAGGACACTGCTGTTGTCACTCCCGTGACCACTGCTGCAGCGGTGAGGTTTCCGAGGAGGGGTGATCTTACTGTAAGGTGAAGGCAGCATGTGAACAGCTGGCTTCTCATCTCCAGGAAGGCCCCCACGCTCGTCTGCCTCTGAGCTTCCCCGCAGCTGGAAGCCTCTGGCGCTGGCACTCCCCTGGAGCAGCTCCGAAATCCGCCCGTTGACGGCCCGAAGGGGCAATTTGGAAGCCAGGCTGGAGCCCCGGTTTCTGCTGAGTGACTGCGTTGACCAGGACATGTTCTTCCCGCTCGGAGGCAAACTGGAGCTCTGCCCTACGGACTGAGGCAGGGACTTGGTCGAGAAGCTGAGTGTTTTGGTGGCAGAGGCAGACAGGCTGCGGGCCTTGGGACTTGCTAGCAGGAGCTTGCTGACCGCAGAGATCTTCGACTGGCTGGCTTTCGGGGAGGTACCTGCTGACTGGGAGAGGCCCGAGTTCGTGGGTGAGGACATGACACCGCGGCTGAGGCTCCTTCCAGCCCGAGGCATGGTGGTGTCTTTTCCAGGGCTCATTTTGGAGCTCACAGAGGAGAGGCTTTCTGCTCTTTCCAGCGACAAGCACTCATAGTGGCTTCCTGTGGACCTCCCAAGGGAGTTGGTTCTGCTGGCGAGCTGCTCTAGTTTGGCACTGAAGAGCTTACTGCTGCTGTTGTTGCTGCTGCTGTCGATGCCAGGGCCCTTCTGTTTGGCGTTCAGCTCCTCGGGGAAGCTGGCCAGGAAGGACCCGGGCTGGCTAGAGGGACTGCTCGTGGTGCTGCTGGCTGCACTGTGCTGGGGGCTGGCTCTGTTCTTCTGATCCAAGCTTGACTTTCTCACCGGTGGCAGAGGAGGGGTCCCTTTGGGACGAGTGAGGACGCAGTGTTTAGGAGAGGCCATTTTCTTCTCAAGGCTAGCCTTAGAAAACTGGGGGAGGGCAGGAGAGCCAACTCCAGTGCTGTCAGAGGCAGTAGGATGGAGGTTACTGTCAGGCTCCTCCGGCTTGCTTGCCTTTGGGACACACCGAGGGAGGCTGCCGTTCTTCAAGCCATCACTGGAATGAACAGGGCTGTGGGTTGCACAGCTGGACGCTGCCACCTCACAGCCATCCACAATCCTCTTTAGACTGTCAGATCCTGGGGAGATAGAGGCATCCCCGCTGCTGCTGCTAAACCTGTCCGCTGAGGACTGCTTTGTGCTGTTCTCAGGCATGGCTGGAACTGCGGCTACGTCAGGCCTTGGCCCATCACTGCTCCCAGAGCTGTCCTTTTTTACATCTTCCTCTCTCTTCAGCCAAGGGTCTTCAAATCTGATATCCTTCTTCGCACTGGATTCCTTCTCATCATGGGGATGAGCGACCTTTGGGTCTGCGGTTACTGCTGGTACAACATCATCAGCGTCTTGTGCTTTGAAGGGATTAACAGCGATACATGGATACACTGTAATGTTTGTCTTCATCGGGATGTAGCCTTCACAGCTGCTGAGGCTTGCAGTGTTTTTGATCGTGACAGTAGTTTTCCCTAGAGCTGATATTTTACAGCCTTTGATGGGTGGCACTTTGCTGAAAGCTTCCTCCCCCATTTCTGACAGTATAAGCATGTTGTCAGTCACCGGCTTCTGTTTGTCACTTACACAGATCATGCTGGCACTCTGTATGGTGCTTGCAAACTCGGAGACAGGGGGTTCTGCCATTGCTTCTCCATGCCCATAGCATGCCTGGGCTATGAAGCTGTGGCACGACTGTTCACCATCACTCCCTGTGCTCATTTCACTCAACCAAGAGCTGATGGATGAGCGCCTGCTGCCATCATCCTGGGATTTGTCATCCAGGCCTAACTTTGGAAGTGGAAGGAACTGAGTGATGCTGACTTCAGACACAGGAGCTGCACTGGAGTAACATTCAAGATCTTCAGATATGCTGCTGATAATACTGACTGGCCTAGATCCAGAGGCCAAAGCCTGCACAGAACAGTCACTGTTAAAACTGATTATACTGGTTGGGCGCCCATTGTCAAGGACCCCACTAATGGTTAGCTCTTCTACAAGGGTGAACACCAGCTCATCCTCTCCATTCAGCTCTAATGGCTGCTGCACAGTCACCATGGTGGTGCTCAGAATCTCCTTCTTGGATTCTGGAGAAATGCTTTGTTGCCGATCTTCATCAAGAATGGATTCTTCAAAATCCCCGTTCCTGGAGGATGTTGACTTCTTCATGATCTGAGGGCTCATGCCTACAGGTGGGGTCCGGATTTCTGGCTGCAGTAATGATTCACTGGATGTCATCCCAGTATCCTTATTCAGGGGAGCTGCTGGGGGAGCGGAGCTGGGCAGGACTCCTTTCTGTGTATAGACCTTGCACCTCTGGGAAGGAGAAGTTGGTGGCTTGTACTCAGATGTCTTTGAGAGGCTTGCAATGCCAAGCCGGGGCGAACCCATTGGCCGAGGTTTGCCTTCCACAAATCCACAGGTGTTGAGACCTTCTCTGCTGCTCTGCAAGCTGGTGCTGTGTGCTAACTGACAAGAGCTAAGCTCTCTACTAGAGCTGCCTGTTACACTCCTCGGAGAAGAAGGAGTTGAAACATTAGTAAGAGCTCCAGAAGGAACAGGGGAGTGATTTCTCTTAGTTTTGCTGGGCATTGCATTTATATTTTCCTTGGCTTCTCTATCAGGATGCTGACATTCTGGCATCATATCTTCCTTATCTGACTCTGGTAAGTAGCTAAGCTCTGCCAGCTGGCTTGAGACAGAGCACTTAGACATCTGGTCTGAGCTAAACTGAGCAGGCATCTCTTCAAAGGGAAATTTGTCGATCTCTTCACTGCCATCTATGCAATCCAGCCTCTCCTGGAGCTCTGCAAAAGTGTTGCACTTCAAGCAGTCTCTTTCAGATGTGCTGGGCCCTGATTCACTAACTTCCTCCAACCTGCCCTCATTTTTGGTCTTTTGCAGAGCAGGAACTATGGGAACAAAGTCAGGGGGACCCTCATTATCAGTCAGTTCCTTATCAGAAAGGGCAGTTCCATTGGGGCCAACGTAAATCACCGTGTCACACGACTGCTCACTGCTGGATGAATAATCAGGATCACTTGATAAATGCAAAATAGGGAAGTCTGGGTCAACAGTGTTTCTAGAATGGAAAGGCCTCAGCTGGGTTGGCCTCCGCATCCTGCCCTCCTCACAAGAGCTCTCTCCTCCAGAAGAACTCGATGTGTACTGCGGTATAAAAGAGAGAGAGAGAGAGAGAGAGAGAGAGAGAGCATGACATTTCAGCATGGCAAACATCTCCTTGCACAAAGCGCATACACAGAAAGGTCACGGTCCCACCAAAACTGGAAAATCTCTAAACTAAGGCACAGAGCTCTAAAGCTCCTTATACACAGTCCTACAGCAAAGACACAGCAGTGTTCAACGGAGAACCCAATGCCCCAACTCCATGTCCCACTCAAAATCATGAGACTTCCAAAAAAAAGTACAGAACAAATGGATTAGGGTGCCCATGAGACTTCCAAAAAAAAAAGTACAGAACAAATGGATTAGGGTCCCTCTCTTAATTGAGCCTGGCCAAAGAAATCAGATATTTGGCACAAGCTTTGTGGATTTTCTGTGTGTGTGTGTATGTGAATAGGAACAAGAAAATTGATTACACAAATAAGGCACAGAAAATAAAGACAATCCCCATTTGGTCTTACTACCACCAGTGTGTGGAACTGTATAACGGGCACTCAGAGGTCTCTGGAGACACACTGCTGTGATGGTGTGTGGACTGAATCCCTTCACTCATCTCTCTTTAATCCATTGACAAAAAAGATTGTGTCAATTCACAGACTGTAAATTTAAATGAAATGCATAAAATTCACTTGTGCCCAATTCACACCATAACCTGTACAGAAGGAACCAGGCCTCTAAAATGTGGAAGTGGATACAGCCCACCTTCACTCCTTGGAAAATCTATTACCCATATTTAGAAGCAGTGAGAATAAAAGGGACGTCAATGCTGGCAATGGACACACTGCTTTGCATTTATTTTGTTCCTGCACTCTCTGGGAAGCGTAAAGAATTTAATTCTTCATTAATCCCAATTTCCTTTAACTCTACAGCAGTTACATTCCTTATTATTTCATTAGCACTAAGAGCATAACTGAAAATAAATGCTCTCTGACAGCTCTATCACTAAATGAGGCCAGTTTACAAACCTGCTGTAGCATATACGTCTGAACTCTCTCCTCTCTACCTGAAGCTGAAGCGTTAATCCCCACTTAGTCTCTGCTCTGTGATCCAAGCCACTTGTCTAGGACAGGGAACATACAGCCCACGCACTCTGGATTTGATTACTGATTTTGTTACATGATGCTCTACTCTCTTAAGGATCCTTCAGGGTCCTTCTTCTTCCCTCCTCCACCATTACAAGAAGGGAGCTATACATTGTCTTACCTTAGTTTTCTTTTTCTTCATCCTGAGGACCCTTGATGCAATCTGGATGGTGGACAGCGTCTCAGCATAGTTCCCTGCAGCGGCTGAAATGTGAGCTATCATTGTGGTGCGGCAGTTCATATTCCCCAAGGACTCCCGAAGCAACATGGTGAGCTTGCTGTCTCTGCAAAATAAAATGAATTAAGGCTACATTAGTGCACTAGGTTTCACTTTGACCATCGTGATGTGACTTGGGTCTCAGCAAGATTTTTTTTCTCCTCTTTTTAATGGAACCCTAATTAGTTTCCTTCCTCAGGTTTGCACTGTGTTGTGTCTGCAGCTGAGCATGCTGAAAGGCCCTGGACTACAATTTAAACTTCTTTCTTCTTCCCAGTTCACCCCTTCTGTCTTCTTCTGGCCTCAGTCCTTCTGCAGTGTTACCACTGTCAATACAGAGATGCAGACCAGCATTGGAGACTATCTGTTAAGGAGCTGCTGCAGCAAACACCAAACTGCTGCCCTTTTCCAGTGCACACTATGCAAGTAGACCTCTGGCCCAGCTCTGGAGGTAAAGAGGGTAGTGGATTAGATTAGCGGGCCCAAATTTTTTTCTTGCTTTCTAGGACACTGGGTAACTCAATAATAATAATAATAATTCAATCACTGAAATCAATTTTGGATGATGTTGGTGAAATACAAAACAATCAAGCCCTAAGACTTTGCACAATTGTTCTTTCATATTAAATCTTTTTTTCCACTGAGGCGGAAATCAAATTTTCTGTTCTTGCTATTTACTCTATTGTTCAGCATAGGATAGCTTCTGAAACGCTGATGCCTTATTGTGGGGCTGTCTGTAACTGGACTAAGAATATGGATTTTAGCAGCATAATGATGCATATATAATGCTTCTGTGGTGGTCATCTAATCCTGTATTCAGAAATGCATGATATAATTTTTAAAGAGAGATTTAGCTACACAGTGTACAGGTCAACTGGATGGTTAGTTGGGAAATAGCATACTCTTGAAGAGAGCCTCTCCTACACTAAAGGTTGTGGATGATAGCTATGTATGGCTAAAAGCAAAGACAATAACAGCCTGACATCCACCTACTGTGAAAAGATTTGCTTTCACGGTTGTAATGATAGCAATACCTTCAGTGGCTGGGGATCAGGTTTTTGGGGCTCACCTTTCAATATCTGCTAATGAACTATGGTGCATGTGTGCCCTTGGTCATCCACTTCACATTTCCAGCTCACAGGAATTCTGCATAAAGCTGCAACTGCTGGGAACTGAAGCTGTGTCTACTGGATGGGATTGACAGACAAACACCAAAATTCTCAAACCTCTCTTTTTGATTGAGTAAACAACAGCATTTGGGATGTATATTTTGGTAATCATATAGCAGTATGTCTGGGGAGCGCATAAATTGTGCTTTTCCTGAGATTTCCAGTACTTGTGATTTCAGCTAAGCTAGCAATACTGAAAGTAAAACATTTTTTGTTTCAGGATTTCTGCTTCCATCTGCTCCAGACACATTGAAGACAGTCTGATGTCTCTGAGAAGCAAACAAACATCCATAAAGACTATACTGAGACAGCCTCACTCATTTCACTGGTGACCTAAGGCTGCTTTGAATCCACAGATCCAGAGTTAATAGGCTGCTGTGTCTCAGGTTAGTGGCCCTCCTTTCCATCAAGGAATAATTAAGATGTCAAATTTTGTACATCAGTTACTGCCACTCCAATGCAGAGTTACACAGAAATTATTAACATCTGCACAGAAATCAATAACAAACCTTTCATTTGCTAGTGCTTCTATCATAGCAAAACATGAGATGACATGGAAAGGGCAAAAGAATACATTCTGAATGTGTCGGTCTCCTGAGAATATATAACCAATGCAGCCAGCATCAGCACACTGCAGCGTGGCTCTCCTAGAGGTATATGTGTTATGAATATAAAATAATCTCTACCATCTGCCTTGTACTGAAATACACACTTGCAAGAAGAATGACAATACGGAGGAAATACCTATTCTATAATTCAAATGATCCTTTGACATACCTCAGGTAGGAACTAAAAGGCAGATTTGTTTAGGATTAAAGCCTGAAACCTAGCAGCAAAGAAGCTCAGCCAACACTGATTTCTAATTTCACAGTTTGCTCATGCAACAGTCTGCATCTTGACTATCAACTTCACTTTGCACCCAGAAAACATAACTAGCCTCATGTCACATATTTTTGTCAATTCTGGACATTGTCCTAAGACAAGTTCACCTGTTCAAGGTTCACTGATCTCTCACAATAGCACCTATTAACTTCCAAAGGAAAGAAATAAAATCAAAGAGAACATCATAACACAAAAATGTGTGGCTTAATTTTTAACTCACCCTATCCTCATCAGGTAAAATACTGGTAAAATATTTTGGATGTTTCACTGAAATTTGCTTGACAGATAGTGTGAGACACAAAGTAGATGCTTTGTTCTTCTGAATGCTGACATGACACTTCTGTCTGAAAAAAAGAAAGGCTCTGAATTGTTTCATTAGGTGATTCATGAGCTGATGTTTGCAAAAGCAAAATTTCCTGTGAAAGCATAAGTTTTACAGTGAGAAGGTCTGCCCTTCTGCACTGGAAGAGCCTTGAGAAGGAAGACCTTTGTTGATCTTCTAACTGTGCAAACTGAACTAAAACACAGGAAATTCTGAAGAAGCTCACAGAAGGGCTGCTGCTCCTGGGTGCATGCTACTTGCGGAAGGTCCCAGATTTCTCATAACAGCATACTGAAAAGCACCAATGTCCTTATAGCAAATGGGACATCTTTGGGAATGCTAATGGTCCATTTCTATTCTGTTCCAAGAGCAATAAAATGATATGCCAGGGCAGCACAATGACCCCATTTTATATACCTGTCTTCATTTTAAATGTATTTCTATCCTATCCACTAATGTTTTTATAATTCAGGAGATCATGAATATGGGTATATAATACACAGAGAAGAATGAAGGTGGGGTCAGTTTACCACACTTCAGACTCCAAAGCCTGTATATCACTAAGTCGATTCTGCAGCCTTTTCAGTACTTAAAAGTTACTTGATTTTTCTAACAGCATCGCTTGATCTAATAAAATACATTACCCTTACTTCTAAACCTTTTCTTGCCTAACTCATGAGATCATCATGGATACAGCAAAATACCAATAAATATTATCCATATATCCCACACAGGGAAAACCCCAAAATGAAGTATACAAAGCTCTATCTGTGGAAAAGTCCAGAGGCAGAAGCCCTGGGTGCAGAAAACTAAACTCAGATGTCTCTGGGAGGTATGTCAGTGGGCATGGTACAGAGGATCCAGAAAGGAAGAACTGCAGACTGCCAGGCAAAAACCTCAGTTCATTCCACGCAGTAGCAGCCCTCCATGTGGAGAGAAGCTCTCTCTTATCCATGCTGCTCCCTTATCTCCTCCGTATTTTCACCCTCTCACATTATAGCAGCTACTGGAGGACTTACAGTGTTATTTTCTGAATCTCTCAATAGCTAGCATAAAGAATCCTAGCAGGTATTACACCTCCCCAAAAGAGAGATGTGGCAGTGCTGCAGTGAGCACAGTGTTCTCTATTTCTTCTCTTCTGAGACTTCACCATGCAAACAGGGATCAAATGTAAATGAGTCCTTTCCCTTGCTCAGTAAGAAGAAAAAATATACATCTTCATGCTCCTCTTATACATATCCATATTTTCCTTCCTCATGAATCATTAATTATACTCAGATGCAAACAATACAGAATCTAACATTGAAGAACGAAGTACTCAAGATCATGATACGTCTCCTTGCATATTGCATAAATCCCACTTGCCTATGTGCATTAAGTCAGTGTTTTTAATTTCATGACTGGATACTATTATTTCACCAGACCCCTGCCTCAATCACTGCATAGGATAAACAGTGCTCACTGAACAAGAAGTCATTCAGTCTTTCATTTAATCTTTGCCTTTTAAGTTGCAGGCTTGTGCCTTATCTGCTGTTAGGACTATACAAACCCAGCTCTGAATCCAGAATGACAGATTTCTCTAAAGGTTCATTTTTTTTTTTTTTTTTTTTCATTTTCTGTGGAGCTTATCAATGCAGTATCTGACGAATGCCTCTGAGGTGAGGTATAGAATTCTCTGATAATACCTGCAGCATTGAAGAGTTCCCTAAGTATAGGTGTTTGGTGTGAAGCACTGATCTTTCAGAGTATGGAGCATTATATAATCTTTTATATTCAAAGTACAGCTCACTTTGACTTCTCTTGCAAATAAAATGGGGCAGCTGATTCTCAACATGGGTACCCAGAAAACCAGGAACATACAATTAAAAGCCCATCTGAAAATGTTAGGCACGCACTGGCAGAGCCAGTTCTGAAGGCGGTACCAGCTCTCTTTGGAATCCCTCTCTTCTCTTCCACAGCCCTCAGACCCATTTTCCATATGCCTTCCATTTTCTGCTAAAAATTAGGGAAGGAACTTATTGACAGTGACCACATCCCTGTACGGTCCTGATTCATGTCTTAAGCAGGTCCTTTATCTGCCTTGCAAAAGATGATAATTGCATGGCAGGGGGAAAGGGGGGAAGAATCCTGCAAAGACAACATAATATATAGCCCATGGGGCCAAAGTAAGTTTGCCAGGACAACCTTAATTTTGACATTTCCTGTCACTGTAGTGATTGAGTTCACAATCAGAAAAAATTTTATTATATATATTTTATGTATCTTCATGTGGACTTGTGTTCATACTCCAGTGAGACACTAATAAGCCTGGAACCTTCCTACGTATTAAAAACCCTCAGCTGCTGAGGCAAGTAGACAGCAGAAGCAGCTGGCTGCCACCTTTTGTATGGACAAGCAGTGGAGAAGGAGGACGTGACTCACAATTTACCATGAGGTTTTGCTAGTACCTTCTGCCTGCAGAAAAGCAGTTAGACTCAGGAGTATTACCACCCTTTCCTGTGCTGTAGGAGAGCTATGCACTTCTACGCTCACATCCTTTTTGCAATGCTCTTCGCTCATCAGACAATCCTGTTCTATCAGTGTCTATCCTGGGTTTTCCTCATCCAACCTCCTCACTCGTTCTCATTCCCATACCATGATTCACGCCCCCAGCTCCTCACCTAAACAGCCCAGCAGAGCTCCATTTCATCCTTC